TCCTACACTACTTATGACTAACTCCTGTGCTTATGTCTTTCTCCTACGCTACTTATGACTAGCTCATGTGCTTATGTCTCTCTTCTACACTACTTATGACTAGCTCTTGTGTTTATGTCTTTCTCCTACACTACTTATGACTAGCTCCTGTGCTTATGTCTTTCTCCTACACTACTTATGACTAGCTCCTGTGCTTATGTCTCTCTCCTACACTACTTATGACTAGCTCCTGTGCTTATGTCTTTCTCCTACACTACTTATGACTAGCTTCTGTGCTTATGTCTTTCTCCTACACTACTTATGACTAGCTCCTGTGCTTATGTCTTTCTCCTACACTACTTATGACTAGCTCCTTGTGCTTATGTCTTTCTCCTACACTACTTATGACTAGCTCCTGTGCTTATGTCTTTCTCCTACACTACTTATGACTAGCTCCTGTGCATATGTCTTTCTCCTACACTACTTATGACTAGCTCTTGTGCTTATGTCTTTCTCCTACACTACTTATGACTAGCTCCTGTGCTTATGTCTTTCTCCTACACTACTTATGACTAGCTCCTGTGCTTATGTCTTTCTCCTACACTACTTATGACTAGCTCCTGTGCTTATGTCTTTCTCCTACACTACTTATGACTAGCTCCTGTGCTTATGTCTTTCTCCTACACTACTTATGACTAGCTCCTGTGCTTATGTCTTTCTCCTACACTACTTATGACTAGCTCCTGTGCTTATGTCTTTCTCCTACACTACTTATGACTAGCTCTTGTGTTTATGTCTTTCTCCTACACTACTTATGACTAGCTCCTGTGCTTATGTCTTTCTCCTACACTACTTATGACTAACTCTTGTGCTTATGTCTCTCTCCTACACTACTTATGACTAGCTCCTGTGCTTATGTATTTCTCCTACACTACTTATGACTAGCTCCTGTGCTTATGTATTTCTCCTACACTACTTATGACTAGCTCCTGTGCTTATGTATTTCTCCTACAATACTTATGACTAGCTCCTGTGCTTATGTATTTATCCTACACTACTTATGACTAGCTCATGTGCTCTTGTATTTCTCCTACACTACTTATGACTAGCTCCTGTGCTTATGTATTTATCCTACACTACTTATGACTAGCTCATGTGCTTATGTATTTCTCCTACACTACTTATGACTAGCTCATGTGCTTATGTATTTCTCCTACACTACTTATGACTAGCTCCTGTGCTTATGTATTTATCCTACACTACTTATGACTAGCTCATGTGCTTATGTATTTCTCCTACACTACTTATGACTAGCTCCTGTGCTTATGTATTTATCCTACACTACTTATGACTAGCTCATGTGCTTATGTATTTATCCTACACTACTTATGACTAGCTCCTGTGCTTATGTATTTCTCCTACACTACTTATGACTAGCTCCTGTGCTTATGTATTTATCCTACACTACTTATGACTAGCTCCTGTGCTTATGTATTTATCCTACACTACTTATGACTAACTCCTGTGCTTATGTCTTTCTCCTACGCTACTTATGACTAGCTCATGTGCTTATGTCTCTCTTCTACACTACTTATGACTAGCTCTTGTGTTTATGTATTTCTCCTACACTACTTATGACTAGCTCCTGTGCTTATGTATTTATCCTACACTACTTATGACTAGCTCCTGTGCTTATGTATTTATCCTACACTACTTATGACTAGCTCCTGTGCTTATGTATTTCTCCTACACTACTTATGACTAGCTCCTGTGCTTATGTATTTATCCTACACTACTTATGACTAGCTCCTGTGCTTATGTATTTCTCCTACACTACTTATGACTAGCTCCTGTGCTTATGTATTTCTCCTACACTACTTACGATAGCTCTTGTTTTTCCTCTCTGAGCTCCCTGACCTACTTGACTACTGCAACTGCTCCGTGGAACGAGTGTGATCACTATGACGTCCCTACTGATCACCTTACTAGCAAGGTACTTGACATCCTCACAAGGTTTAGCCTTGTCCAGGGCATTACGCAGCCCACCTACTACCGTAGCGGCCACATCATCAACTGGGTCGTGTACCGTGATGACAACCACTTGGTGGACAGCTGTACTGTGAGTCATATGCTCTCCTCTGACCATGCAGCTGTGCTCACTACACTCAACGTAGTTCCCCCGCAGAACCCACCTGTCTACAGGACAGTGCGTGACATAAACGCTATAGACAGAGCAGCCTTCAAAGCCGACATTAAGACAATGCTTCAAGGGCTACGTGCTGAGCTCAGCGCTCAGCATCTCTATGATGGCCTCCGAGCACTCTTACACGAGCACGCCCCTCCCATGGCGCGACGTGTCCCAACTGGTCGCTCGTCGCTATTGTATGCAGGCGTTAGTGACCAACTCCGTCTTGCAAAACTCGAGCGAAGACGCGCTGAAAGACGCTGGCTAAAGACTGGACTGAGTGTCGACAGACAGATCTTTTTGGACAGCAAAGGAGGCGGTGGCATAGATTGTACAGAAGGCAAAGGATGACTACTGGAGCTCAAAGGTCGAATCATGTGCATCAACCAAGGCGCTGTTCAGCGCTAGCAACCGTCTTTTTGGAGACATCAAGAATTCCACCCTCCCTACCGACATTGCACCAGAGCAACTCCCTGACGCCTTTGCGGACTTTTTCATCACCAGGGTGCAAACGATCAGGGAGGAGCTAGATCGTGCGACCCCTACACCTTCCTCACCGTTCTCGGAGGACGTTAGTCAGACAGAATCATTTGATAGATTCCTGCCTGTGACTGAGGATGAGGTGAGGCGAGTCATCATCAGGTCTGCTCCCAAGTCTTGTGCCCTCGATCCGATCCCCATCCCACTGCTTGTAGAATGCCTGGACGTCCTCCTCCCAGCACTCACCTCCATCATAAATTTTTCTATTCTCTCTGGCATTTTCCCTCCCATTTTTAAACGGTCGATAGTCCTGCCACTCCTAAAGAAACCCTCACTTGACCCAAACACACTCAAGAATTACCTCCCCGTCAGTAACCTCTACTTTCTCTAAAAAATCATAGAAAAACTCGTACTCTCTCACCTTGACTATCGTTACTCTCGCAATCTCTATCCTTCCTCTCAGTCCGCCTACCGACTTGGTCACAGCACAGAAACAGCACTGGTCAGAGTCATGTGCGACCTCCTGCGTGCGATGGACGGTGGCAAACTCTCTATTCTCACTCTATTAGATCTCTCTGTGGCATTTGATACCATTGACCACCAGATTCTTCTTGACCGTCTTCATCTTTCTTTCGGACTTACTGGCTCAGCTTTAAAATGGTTTCAATCTTATCTTTCTGACAGAACTCAAGCAGTCTCTATTTCCAACCGCTCTTCCAAACCTTCAAACCTCGTCCACTTTCAAAAAGTCCCTTAGAAGCCATCTGTTTAGGTCCGCCTATGACCTGTGATGCACCCTCCTTGCCCTGCCTCATTTTCTGTCTCGAGTTGATCCTGTAGTATAGGTCAAAACGTGCCAAAGTGTCATTATTTTTATAGCTATTTTAATGTTTAAGCTACTTTGTAATTTTATTTTTCACATT